GGTAATTCGACTTTCAATTGAGGAGGATTGCATGTTCGTACGTGGAGAAAAGGTGACCTAAAGATGAAGAGGGTAGAATTGGGAGGACGTGCGTCGCTCGCTATGATGCGTCGCTCGCTATGCAGGTACGTTAGGCTATTATTACGGCTAGTGTTACGGCCAGCTAGTCGTAGGGGTAGTTTGCAGAAGTTGAGGCTGCGGAACTGGTAACAGTAATCGTAGTCGTGGAATAGTTTCAAGGAAACTATGTCTGTCAATCGTAAGGGCAGGTAAGGCTTCGGTGATCAATCGTAGTCTTGTCAAGGTAGTAGCTGAAAGCGGATGTTAATCCTGATACGAAGTTAATTGCTGAAGAAGCTATGGGAAGTCTGTCCTAGAGCCCGGCTCGAGTCCATCCTATATACAAGTCCTGATCCTGAACATATCCTTTGTTGCCTGATCACCATGTTCGTTGGTGATCACTAAGTGGATACTGGTGAGCGCTCACTTTGGGTGATCACTGTGATCACCTTATCGTGTGCTCACTTTGGGTGATCACTGTAATCACCTTATCGTGTGCTCACTTTCCTTATCGTCACGTGACTTGTTCCATAGTTCTTCCGTTCCATGAGGAGTCACCTGAGTTCCCGGATTCTCTGCGTATATCAGGTAGATAGCCGCCGCAGGCCTGTGGGGCGGGCCCCCTGGCCTTGTTATGCATGTTGGGTTGTAACAGCTAGCTAGTCGTAGTGAGGTATGTTTACAGAAGTTGAGGCTACGATACTAATGAACAGTTCTAATCGATATAATAATCGGATATAATAACCGGAGATTATTATACTTCGTGGTTAGATAGCTTTCTAGAGGCTATGTCTATAAGTCGTAAAGTAGAGAAGGCTTCGGTAATTAATCATAGTCTTGTTAGAGGGGTGTTACGCCCGCCGCAACTTGTCACTGTGGGCGCGTAGCTATATATGCAGAACAAGGGACAATGATGACCGGAGTCATCATTATCGAAGCTTTTGCTTTGTGCCACAGTTGGTTGCCTTGTCCAGCTCGTAACAAGGGGTTCTTATTAAAGATAGCTAAAAACGATCATAAGATCTAATACAAAGTTCATTACTAAAGAAGCTATAGGAAGTCTGTCCTTAAGCCCGGCTCAAGTCCATCCTATATACAAGTCCTAATCCTATCTGAACATATCCTTTATAGTTAGGACCGATATCACCATATCGGTTCTTCAGGGGTAGACCGCCCTTATCATATCGGTCCATGTTCAGGGACCGCTTATCGCCCGTCGGTCCTTTTTATCATTACGTAACTTATCCATAATTCTTCCGTTCCGTAAGGAGTTTCCCAAGTTCCCGGGGTTTCTTATATATATCTAGTAAATAGCCGCCGCAGGCCCGCGGGGCGGGCCCCCTAGCTTTATTATATATATTAGGTCGTAATAGGCGTATCTATAAGTCGTAAGGTAAGGTAGGTAAGGCTCCGGAACGGTCCTGCGGGGCAGGCCTTAGTGGTGGTGATGCGTGTTAGGCTATATCAAAAAGGAAATATTAGTGTAGTTACATTCACCGCCTTCATGGGGAAGTACTAGATTTTTCAACCAATTAAAATCGTGGACGCGGACGCCGCTGTAAGGTGGACGCCGCTGTATCAATTCCGGACGCCGCTCTATCAATTCCCTTAAGATAATGGAAGGGTGGTCCTCGATGGCGGGTAGAAGTAAATTGTACATCGTCAACAACGAAGAAAACAAAACGTGATGTTTTGGGTCCGTAGAAGTTGACTCTGAAAGGAATTGATGGCATGTGATTGTTGGTGGCAATCCTTCGAGGACAAATGATATGTGACACTGCATACTTATAATAAGCATGTATGGATTAAGAGGATTGACATGCTTGCATACCCAGTCTTTAAAGACAGCTCTTGATTATACCATGATGGACCAGGCTCCAGGTATCAAAAAAACGACCTCTTTCTCTCATGATTGCCACGAACAGGTATCATATTCAAAAGGAAAATTATCCAGGTAATAAAAGCTGTTTCCATGCCTGTCCGTAAAACGCCAGGCCGTGTGTCTCCTCAGTCCCTCACACTGCGCCCCATTCTCAACTCTCCTCCTTCTCCTCCCCAGTCTTGGCTTTCGAAGCACCAGTCATGCTATGAACCAAATCAGCGAACCGGCCCTTGGAAGCAGCCAGGTTCGTGTCGGCCTTTGGCGTCCCCACAGGCGTAACGCCCGCCGACGTGCCCTCCACGACGTTAGCTACCTCCTTGTAATGCTCGCGGTCTTTAACGAAGCGCGTCAGGTACATGGTCTTCTGCCGCGTCTGCTTCCTCATGATGCGCTCCACCTCGGCCTCGTACGCCTTGTCGTAGATATTGAAATCGACGTTGGTCGGCGACTCGGCCACGGCGCCGGCCGAGGGCTCGTCCTTGTCGAACTCGTCCCGGGACCCGATACCGATGCCGAGGATGCGGGGTTCCGAGTCGGACCTTTCGGGGGGTGCGGTCTTAGTGACGTCGGCGAGGCTGTTCTTCTTGAAGAACTCGCGGCGTTTCGAGAGGAGGGCTTCAATGTCCTCGTGCGGCGCACCCAAACGGGGGGAGTCTGACTGGGAGCCTTCGCGTGACTTGGCGTTTCTTTGCCTCGTGAGAATGTTCTTGAAGTTGTGGATCGCTTTCATCTGTCGTGGCTGTTAGTTTCTTTATATCGCGGCATTAACCACGAGGTGCGCTGCTCACCACGCAGAGGAGATGGTTCATCTTCCGCGTAAAGGCGCGGTTGAGCTCAAGCTCGTTTGGGGGCTCCACGGTGTTCGAGCAGTTTTCTTCCTTTGAGAGCAAAGCATCTGTCCCCTGTTTCGTGACCCACGGATGGTCCTGGTTCATGATCAGCAAGAAAGTCCAGCCGCTGCCTCACGGGAATAAAACTAGTGCTCACCCGCAACTCGTGCATCTGAATACGTTTCTGGGGGTCCTTTTCCAGAATCCTCGTGACAAGGTCCACAAAGTCGGGGTTCTCATCCTCGGGTAGCTCAGGGGAATCTGTTTTGATGGCTTCGTACATCTCAAGCACGCCCTCTTGCTCGAATGGAATTTTGCCATAACGTAGACAGTACAGCGATATTCCCATCGACCAGATATCCGTAGCCTTGCCATCAACGTCGCCATGCCTTACTACGCAAAGCTCGGGTGCAAGGAACGCCGGAGACCCTGCCGATTTAGCCGTTTTCATGGGGTCGCCCGGCTTCTCGAACATCTCAGAGACGCCAAAGTCCACAATCTTGAGCACATCATCATCGGTAAGGAGAAGGTTGTCCGGCTTGATATCCCGGTGGATGACGCCTTGCTCATGCACTAGACGGTGTCAGTCAGGCTGGACAGGGCCCATGTGGCAGCCGACTTACAGTATTCGATGCCTAGAATCAAGTCTCGGAACCAATAACGACACGAATCTTCAGCGTACGGCTTCGCCTTCTCGTTGAGGCCGACCTTCATTACGACTCCCTTTTTGCACATTTCGAGGACCATGTACAGTGAGTCCTCTTCCGGGTCGTCCAACACTTCAATCAGCTGGACCAGATTCGGGTGGTTCAGCTTCTTCATGATAGCAATCTCTTCTCTGATAAAGAACAGGGCATCGTTGACGTTCCAACCAGCGTTGCCTTCCTCGCCAAAATGAGGCGATAGCGGCGCGTTGAGACTAACACGGGGGGCGAAGCGCTGGGGTCGGCGAGCGCCCTGCCGCAAGATGTTGGACTGCGCGCGTTTACGGAGCCGAACTTTGGAGAACTCCTTGACGGCCTACAGGTGGACGTGAGCATGGGGGTCATCATCACTTTGCAAGCTTAGGAGGCCCATACATATTCAGTGCCAAATTGGTCCGTCGCGAGGTGGACGGCACCGTAGGAGCCCCGGCCAATTTCCTCTTTAATGATGTACTGGTTGATGCGGTGGTGACTTGAGCCATCCTGAGCTTCGGTGCCGTATTCCGTCACGGCGTTGAGCGTTTCCTGTAGCAGTTTCCCGGTGAGTTTCTCTGGATCTGGTGCTCAATGCTCGGGTTCGTCGTCATCGCAGCTACCCCGCCCCCACCAAGCACAACCAGCGGCAGCGGGGCAGATCGAGAGCTGGGGTTTCAACGAAGCTTGGCGAAACAAGGAACACGCACCTTGACTTCACGGTGAGCTGAAGGGGTTCGACGGTGATGCCGCATGGGGCTCTGGAACTTTGATGGTTGGGCAGCCGAATCGGATCTGTACCGCGTAGGGCGAGCAGGTGGTTAGAGTGTAGCTCGCCGCGCAGTGGTGGAGCGCGCGGGGGAGGCAGTGCAAAGTTGCAGCGCAGCGCAGAGAAGCAAGGTGAGTTACGGAGTAAGTGCAGTGAACTGACGTACATGGGGGCGGCGAGCGGCGGACGAGTCTCGGCGGGCCCTTCGCCGTGGAACCCTACCGCGATGGTGGGCGAGGCCACGCTTGAGGTAGCGAGGGTCGTTGAGGCCATGGCCGTCGTTGGCGGGCTCTGAGGTTCGCCGGATTCCGTCATGGTTTTCGCCTTGTGCGAGGCTGAGACTGAGAGTTGTAGATGGGAGGGTTGTGTTGTAAGCTTGACGTGATGTTGGAGAAGCAATGTTGGAGAAGCAATGTTGGAGACGTGCGTGTGAGGTGGGATGAGAGTGAGAGTGAGAGTGAGAGTGAGAGTGAGAGAGCTAGCTGCAATGCTCTGCTTTGCTCATTCGGAGTATTGCTATTAATAACGGCCGAGGTACGGATACACGAGCACACACTCAGACGTAGGACAATCTAAGATATGACGGACAGGCGCGAACGACCGGACGAGCGAGCGATGGAGCTGTCGACGTTTTGAACCTCGAGGCGCGCGTGTGTGAGGCGAGGAAACCGAAAGCGGCGTCAAACGAAAGGAAACAATAAGCAAGGGCACTAGGATTCGCGAAAACGAGACGACAGCTGAGCTTTAAAACCCGACCGAAAGGAAACTGGGCCGGGGGGTGGTGGGAAGAGAGAAGTACAGATATACATAGTAAGGTAAGGTAGAAAAGATGGTGGGAAAAAATAGGCGTTTCTCGTTCAGCTCTTCAGGTTCAGAGTGTGCCCCCCCTTCCAGCCCCCACGTCTCTCAGGTCTCCTTCCCAAGGATCACCTCGCAGTCTCCAGTTCCTCAACGCCCTACGAAAAGCCCAGTTTCCGTCTTATCCATTTTCACGGCTCCTCATATCCATGCCCAGCTTCTTTGCCCGTTGTCATTGGGCGCATGGTAGAGTTCCCATCATGGGCTGACTAGTGTGCTCCCCTCGTAGGGCCAGCTCCGAACCCCTCCTTGGAGTCCTTGCGCCAAAGAATTACGTTCCGTCCGGGGGGTCCACCACAAGGCAGAGTGACACCCCCTGCCAGTAGGTATTACATACCTGCGGTACCTTACGCAATCGGACCAGCTCCAGCTCACAGTTGCAATTTCAAAGGTCCACCGAGGTACCTACCGACCGAGACAAGCAACGGTAGCCGCATTTCGGGGCTGGGGCCACTGAACGACCGGTCACTCAATCGTCCCGCCTGAGCTACGGATACCTTGTCTTCATGAACTTCTTGCGACTTTGCACATTCAAAACCCGTGATACACAACGACACCGACAACCAGCGAATACCCCGACGACCTCGAATACGACCGGATCCGACACCGCGTTCCTGAGAGATTAGATCAATCAGCGATCTACATACCATACGCATCCCCACGGCATGCGCCCCTAAACCACCATTCACCCATCCCTTTCCGCTTCGTCTCGCCGACCATCGACAGCAACAACGAAAGACCCGGCGCAAACACGGCCACCTCCCCCGCGCGCCCGCCGCGGCCGACCCCTAGCCCAACATGGTCGTCTACTCCTTCTACATCTTCGACCGCCACACAGAATGCATCTACTCAAAAATCTGGCTCCCCGCCGAGCGGCCCCCCTCCCAACAACCTCCCTCCTCCGCCGGCACAGGCGCCGCACCACCACCACCACCACCATCCCAGCAGCTAGGCCGCCGCAGCCAAGTAAACTCGGCCAAGGACGACGCCAAACTCATATTCGGCACGGTATTCTCCCTCCGCAACATGGTCCGCAAGCTCGGCGGGGACGACGACGCCTTCATCAGCTACCGCACCTCGGCCTACAAGCTCCACTACTACGAGACGCCCTCCAACCTGCGCTTCGTCATGCTTACTGATACGGCGACGCTGAGTATGCGGAATGTGCTGCATCAGATTTACATTAACCTCTGGGTTGAATATGGTATATTTGATGTCTCCTCCTTAAGGATGGATTGTCTCCCCTTTTGGGAATGAACGATGGATGTACTGACCTTTCATAGTCGTCAAGAACCCCCTGGCACCGGCCGAACACAAGGGCGGCGAAGGCGTCAAGAATGAGCTTTTCGAACTGGGTCTGGATCAATTCGTCAGGAGCCTGATGTGAAGGAGCCGTTTGCCGTTCAGGAGCAGGAAAAAGACATACAAACCAAAGACCAACACGCGTGAACGGCTCTCATTCTGGGAAACCTTCCCCAGTAAGAATCAATCTTCGGCAACCGAGAAACTGTCAGGCGGTCATCATAGTTCAAAAGTGTCGAGACAAAATAGTTGCCTCACACCGAGAACGTATGTTGACAAAAAAGAGCCCATTACAACCATAGACCAAAAAAGGACGTCATGGGATGACCGGACGCTCCCCCCACAACAACGACGAAAGAGCCAGGAGAAACGCGAATTGGGCGAAAATAGATCAAAGGAACGGATGGAGCTGCCCGTCTCTTGTTCTGGGCTAGCCCCAGTGTTGTTGGTACAGATTCGAGATGGACCATCCATCTCTTGACCATAGATTATACAATGATACCTATATTTCCAGCTCCCCGTTTTGCTTTGCCTTACCCATCCATCGCCTTTATACCAGTTAATATCATTATAAACGTCATAGCTCAGCTCACACAGCCTGAATTCAATGTCAATCGAGGTCTGGGCCACAGATTTATATGTATCTCTTCCTCCATCTTGCGTGGAAGGCTACTTGGTGTCCACCGCCCTCCCCCACGCACTCTCAAAGCTGGACTGCGGGTTCACCATCACAAGGCTCTCCTCTCCAGTCCCCTGCGTTGTGCCCTGCGTCTGACTGGGGAACGTCGCAGCAGTACCCTGGCTGGCGCGGGGCAACTCGCTGGCCCTCACGTCAACGGCGCTCGCCATGATGCCCTCGTCGTCGTGGTGGATCTCGTTCTCCCAGTTGCTCGAGTACACCACGGCAGCGAAGCCCTCGAGGTCGGCGACCTGCTCCATCTCCTGCAGGTACTCGTTCGGCATGCCGTTGCCGATGATGTGTGCCTGTCTCGTGAGGACCAAGAGGATCTTGGGCAGCAGCACCACCACCTGCGACGTGCGGGGCTCCGACTCGGCGAGATCTGGCTTGTCAAAGGCCGCCGATGAGAGCTTCTTGTCCACGAGCAGGGAGAAGCCCGCGTCGAGGATGAGCGTGAGCACGTGGGTGAAGGAAGGCGACTCGATGAGGTCCGACGTCTCGTCGAGCAGTCTTCTCACGGCGGGCGATGACGACGGCGAAGACTGGGACGTGTTGCTCTCGGACAGCATCACGGTGCTCTCCTCCAGGATCCCCGACTCGCGGAGGACGTGATCCTCCTTGTCCCGCGGCGGGAGGAGGTAGGGCAGCCACTTTGCGGCCCTGCGCTCCTCGGGCGTGGCGCCCTCGACGGCCTTGCGCACCGCGAGCGTCAGCTCCGAGAACTGCTCGAAGCTGAGCAGGTCGCGCGGGCTCAGGTGTCCAAAGACCTGGCGGACGGCAGCCTCAACACGCTGGCCGAGCTCCTTCCACCCCTCGTTCAGGAGCCACCAGCTAAAGGTCAAGTAGCGGCGGTTCGTCTCAAAGTCGTTGCCGTAGGGCTGGTCGAGGCCGTCATCGTCGTTATTCTCCAGACTGATAGTTGCTTGGGCGGTGCCGGTCGCCAGAGAAATGACGCTCGAGAGATAGCTGCGGCGGCCCAGGAGGTTGAGTTGGACTCTTGTCAGCATCGTCAGCAATGCGAGTGTGTATAGCAGCGTGAAGGCTCTCGTTATGGCTGGGATATCAATGTCAGCACCTTTTCCCCTTCTACCTGTCCGTTCCATCGCATCAGACGTGCGTCACTCACAGCTGATGGTCAAATCATCCCACAATTGCCTCTTCGACTTCCGACTCTTCTGCGTCGGCGCCGCCCCGCCATCCTGTTGCGCACCCTCAGCTGCCCCTCCAGCGGCGGCCGACGTCGGGACCGGCACCGTGATCTGGCTCGCGTGCACGCCGCTCTCGCTCTGCACGCTGCTGCTAACCATGCTTCGGCCGTCGTCCTCGGTCATAGTGGTATCTGCGATGCTGGGCGGGCTGCCGCTGCCGCTCTTCAGGCTCTTGGTCTGGCCCTTCATCTTCTGGATCTCGTAGGTGATCTTCTCCGTGTTCATGGCCTCGAGGATGTTCGTCGTCGCCGAGGGAAGAAGCGCGAGCACAGTGAAGGTGCAGTCTTCTTGGTTTTGTTCGAATCGGCGGCGGAGGCTGCATTGGTGATAGTGTTAGTCCAGGACGGAGAGGGAATTATGGCAGCTATAGGGGGAGATCAAGGGATGCCAGCTTACTTTTCTTTTGCGATGCGGTCGCTGCTCATGCGCTCGCGCGCATCGTTGATCTTGCCCATGACATACTGCGTGACAACGTAGCCCGCGCCGACGACACCCACGCTGACGGCGAGGGGCGTCCTATTCCGGCGGAACCATCGCTGAGTGGCTTCCAACATGGTTCGGTCTGACGCGGCGAGCGAAGAAATGTCCGAGGGGTAGGTCTGTTTCTTGATGGAAAAGTGAGGTACGGTAATGGTAGAGGGGGGCAAAGGAGGGAAAAGACGAGAAGATTGAAGTTAGACAAGGAATAAGAAAATAGTTAAAAGAACCCCGATCGAAGCTTTCGAACACAGTTAGAGAATCAAAAAAGGCGGCCGTTTTGCATGGGGAATCATATGAAAAAGAAGATTGGGAGGTTTTTTTTGTCTATTAAACCCCCCCAAAATTGGCTATCTGGGCGAGCTCTAGGAAGGCTGGTCGGCACGTAATGATAAGTTGGAGCAATTAAGCACACCAGCAGAGAGGAGCTCGCGCCTGACTGCCAGTGACTGGCTGCTGCTCTTTGCGAGTCGTGAACCGTGATTACCTCGGCCCAGCCACACCCACGTTCCCGCGTCATCTCAATTAAGGTACCTTAATGCCCGTGTTCTCAACTTCTTCCCCCAACAGCTGTGGCTGAAGTGCCGGTACCGCAACCGCCGCCGCATCGAGCGCTTCCCGACTGTACCTTAACATACCTTGTATCTGTACGGAGTACGGAGTACTTCGTACATCGCTGCCCGCCTTTGCTGCCCACCACGAACGACTACCCACTCACCTCACAGTCCAAGTTACCTTATGGCCCGTGGGATGCGAAGATACGGCTCGGCGGCTAATGCACAGGGCCACAGACATTCTGCTCCCCATGACCCAGCTCGGGGAAGTACCTTTCCCAACCTGGAAGAAGGCAGAGTACCCCTGCTACCGATTTCCCGTCCCCCCGCCTCTCTCCCTTCCCTCCCTGGGCAATCATAACTGCGGTAGTGACTCCCCGCTCTCTTCTGCCCGCCCGCCCCCCTTATCGGCGCGGCGCATCAGTGCTGGGCTGAAGTGTGAGGTGCCCCTCAATACATCTGACACCTTTCTTTGGGCCATTCCCTCACCTTACCTCAGGCAGAGGGAGAGTATCTATCTATCTATCTCTCTCTCTCTCTCTCTCTCTCTAACGCCAACCGCATCCGTCTATCCGACAACCAAGTCACCGAGCAAAATACCATAATCAAGAAAAGGCACGATGCAGCAGAGCAGCGCCCCAGAGTTCATTCTCGAGGCCTTTGCGGACCCGGCCTCCGTGAGGGACGTCGTCAAAGGTACCTACCAGTCTTTCCCCTCCCTCTCCCGTCCCCCCCGTCCTCTTTCCCATAGGTAGCCCGCAGTCGGGCGCCCCGCCAGACGTCATATCCGCCTCAAAACGAACGACAATGCCTTCCGAACCTCTCAGCCTCGCGATGCGACGACCGTCTGTCTTGCCTCTACCTTGCCTCCCAAAAACCCCCGCCAACATCCCAACCAACCAACCAAAGACCCCAAAACCCATGAAACAAGCCCATTCCTCACAGTGACTCTTAGAACAGAGAATATAAATGCTAACAGAACCTCACCACCATGACACAGGAATCCTCCACACAATCTTCTTCCACCGCTTCTTCCCCGCCGTCGTCCCCTACACCCGCGAAGTCCTAGACCTGACCCTCCCCTACGTCGACGACGTCGAGCTCGAGACCATGATCGAGCAGCGCGCCACCGCCCTCGTCCGCCAGCTCGACGCGGAGCGCTCCTCGTCCGGCAGCGGCGGCAGCGGCGGGGGGCGCGGCCAGCTCACCGTCCAGTTCTTTGAGAAGAAGCGCCGCAAGGCCTGGCTCATGCGCGGCGACGAGGAGGTCTGCTGGGAGTGCTGGACCGTCAAGGTCACGGTCGCGGAGCCCAGGACGGAGACTGGTTGGTTGACCCTTACCCCTTGGGGCACCTAGATGGGGTGTAATCATGATGCGGAAACAAGGAACAACAAAGGCTGACCGTTGGGGGCGTAACTCCTAATACAAACAGAGCGAGCCAAAGTCCGAAAAGCCATGGAGACGACGCTCATGACGACCGTCATGAAGGTCATCACCTTTGTCAACGCGCACAAGGATCACATCCCTCCGATAACGACACAGGGGTCGAACCCGTTTCCCTATCAGATCAACATTAACCAAAAGGAGTCGGGCTGGGCTACGAGGATGGGTATTTACTGATCTTTTTTCTGCGAATTTCTGTGTGTGCGAGCGACGACACCACGACACTGTGAAACTGTAATGAGATGTTTGACAAGATGATTTTTGGTTGAATTTTGAATCGTTCTTCCTTGGGACGACAAATATTCAACGAACCCCAGGATGAACGATGGCGACGCTGCTGGCAGATATCGTAGAGGTACGCACACACATTCCGGCGTTTCTAAGGACAAGGCATGATTCACGAGGTATAGACCATGTAGGTAGGACATTGGGGAAGTTAGAGCAAGACAATATGATACCCGTTCTTGAGTTCAACAACCAAAGACTAGGAGGTCACGCGCGTGACAAAGTCTAGCTTCGTAAATGACTGATGACGAATTTACCAAATCCAAGGACATGTTCTACTTACGCGTACTGGGACAGACACATCATAACAAGGTCGAGAGCGAGAGGCATGCTGACTTGAACATACTCCACAGTATCCATGGGACTCTGTGAAGTGCACGTTACCAAATAAAAGACTCAAGTAGGGAGTAGCCTCATGCATGGGGTAAATGCATTCTTTATGATATTGGCGACAGTTGCGCCGTCATTGATAACACCCACAACGTTTATGAGGAGACTCTCTGTTTAGTGCGTGTTTCCATAGAATTGATCACTACCAGTGTGCTTAGCAAAGGAGCGAAGCTAATACGCTACACATCCAACCCGGATCTTTCCTACACAGCAAAAAAGAACAACCAAATAGCCATTCCGGCCAAACAGCAATAGAACCAAAAGCAAGAAGCAAGTGTCCAGCCCGAACCTAACCTGGTCCAAGGCCGACGAAAGCAATAAACGCGCAAAAAAACTCATGTTCCCCTCCGTTTCTCTCTCAAGAATGATGATGTCCCTTCGCTTTCCCCCTTTGCCCACCGGAAAGAATAAGGTAGAGCCAAGACATTATATGTGCACTGCTTCGTCATTATCATAAAGCAAACAATCATGGACAAGAGAATTGTGAAAGCCTCGAAGCCCGAATCAGACATTAGTCTTTAAAATCAGCCCAAAGTTTTTTGTGTTTCCCCAGCGCGCTCCATTATCGTGTGAAGTGTGTCGAAACAGGCCCTGAATGCCTGAATGCATCGGGACGTCATGCCAGTAAGTGTGTTCATACATCGTAACGGTCGTCATCGTCTCTCATTGGATGAGATTAGAATTGCGTGGTGTAGCTTCGTCCAAAAGCAGGCTTGCTCGGCTTGGAGCCGGAAGCCTTGGGTTGGGAGCCAGACCCAATCTTCTCAAAGCCCTGCAGGATGTCGAGACCCGAGTACTCGGTGGTCTCCTCCGACATGAAGTCCGTTGTGTCGAAAGAGAATGAAGGCCAGTCGCCCTCAGCCGCTACCTCGTAGAATGAACTAGATATCTTGGTCGGCGAGGGGAATCTCCATTGCACAGCGGCATCGTTGTTGGCCTTGATAGGGGAAGACAGGCCGTCAAAGACCTTGCTGGGGGTCTCCCACATGGCGGAAGGTTGTGCGGGTGCTTTCAAGAAAGGCGTTGAGAGAACCGACTTGTTGCCGTTACCCGAGTCATGAGTATCGACCAAGGCATTGGCAGAGTGAGTGCGCTCCAGACGCGGTCGCTTTCCGCCGGACTTTTTGGAGGGAGACTCTTGAGGTGCGCCGTCAAAGAAGTCGTTGTCCATGTCTTGGAAGATGTCAAAGTCACCAGCGGTCATCAGGTTGTAATTATAGACGCTCTCGTCCAAGTTGAAAGCAGGGCTCCACGGCGCGTTGCCGTCACCGGTGCCGACCATCTTGCGGATCGGAGACTGCAGCATCTGGCGGACATTTTCGCGGTGCTGGCGAAGGTTGGTGTTGGGCGAGGCAGACGGCGGGGCCTTGGTAGGCGGCTTCAGTTTCATGGCCGGCGTGAGCGGTGGCAGCATCTGCCCTTGCTGGCGGAGCGGCGATGAGGACGGTGGGGCAAACGCGTTATACGACCGACCCTTGCTAGGGCTATCGTAAGACGACGCGCGCAAGCGAGCAATCTCATCCTCGGCCCTGCCAGCGCGACTGCGCTTGCGAGGACGATCAGCCTCCGAGGTAAGAATTCCAGTCTTTTGCGGGCGCAGAGCAGATGATTCAAGAGACGAGATGTAACCGCTGTCGTCCATGGACGCGAACTTTCTCTTGTGAGATCTAGTGATCGACGACATAGGTCCGCGGCCAGGCGGAGGAGGCGTACGGCTGCGGGGCTCCATGTGTCGCGGGATTGGCGGTGAAGAATGCATCGTAGGCGGCAGAGGAGAGCATTCGTGGTCCAGCTTATCTTGTCCGTCTTCCGGTGCGGCCGAGTCCGAGACGGGAATGGTGGCATCGGATGAAAACTCAACGGCAACGGTGGCCTGGGAAGTAGGCAAGGGCGGGAGCGTCGTCGCATGCCTGATCGGCGCAGGAGGCGGAAGGGTCGGCTCCTGAATCGGCATGTTGGCCGGCCTCGAGGGTTCCATACGGGTTGACATGACAGGCACATTTTCGGCGGTCGTCGCCGTCTTTCTTGCCGGCTTGTCCTTCATGAATTGTTGCTCCATGCCCTCCTGGATCGTCCAATAGTTGCCCTTGCCCGGATCGTCCTTTGGTCGCTCCACCTTGATGAAGGCCTTGTGTAGGCTGAGGTTGTGCCGAATGCTGTTCTGCCATCCCGATTCCTCCGCCTTGTAAAACGAGTACGTGTCCGAGATCCACTTGTAAATTTGTGCGAGGGTCAGGCGTCGTAGTGGTGATCGGAGGATGGCCATTCCGATCAAAGTCGCGTAGCTGTGGCCTGGTTTCGTCCCATCGTCGACAATCGGAGGGAAAGAATCATGGGGTGGAAGGCCCGACTCGTCAGCCTTCACCTTCTTCAGAGGTCGTGATTCCTTGATCGGCGCAGCCTCCATCAATGTGCGCTTTCCGGGTCCTTTGTGCATGTAGAACTGGTCGAAGTTGATTGTGGGCGGCGCAGGATACAATTGCGGGTGTACGTTTTCCTTCCCGAAGCCGGCGGCTAAATCCACGGAAGGAGGCTTCTGTGCGACGGTCTTGAACTTGGATAAGTAGGGCTTCTTGTGTAGCGAATCGGTGTTCTGGAGATTCGCTGATGGTGGCGCCATTGGCACCATGTTCAACTTGCTGCCCTGCGACTTGAACGGTGCATGATGCGATTTGATGTTGCCTGATGATGCTTTCAGAGGCGAGTGTCTATCGGATGCGAGCATCGGAGGATTGAGTACGACGTTGTTGTTACTTGTTGCGCCAAGCGGCCTCCTCGGTGGCTTGGAGGCGACAGGCATGGGTGCGTGGTTGATCATTGTTGTCGAGTTCTCGAAAAAGTCGTCTTGGTAGATTTGCAAAGGCTCATGAGAGCCGGTATAGCGCGTGGGTTTGGCCATGTCGGCCGATAGTAGTTGATGGATGTCGTCTCCAAACCTGCGTCAAGTACGTTCGCGGCAAGTAGTGGGCTGTGGGAGGGAGGGCATGTCAGCGAGCCGCAACGGCATAAGGTTAGATAAGTAGTTGACGGTGCGGTCTTGACTCTGTCAACCTGACAGGGCCCGGCTTCCAAGGTTCTTGAACCCGAACGGGGTTTTGCATGATTGAAGGGAGGAGAAGGAGAGAGGAGACTCAAGGCTCACCTAGGTCGGGTCTAGACTCTGGAAATGAGTTGTGGGTCGTGAATGCAAGGGGGCCTTTTGGCGGTCAAATTGTAAGTTTAGCGACGGGATCGCTGGATCGACACGATGCGATCAGGCAAGCGATGGTGATATTCTGCGAAGAAGTGGTGCCCGGCAGACAACGATGCTGTGCGAAGTCGATAAAGCGCGATGGGGTGTGTGCGTGTGTGAGAGTGTGTGAGAGAGTTGAGAGCAGAGTCAGCAGGCGAGGGTGAGGGTGAGATATGGCTTATGGCTGCAGAAAGGTGAAAAGAAAAGAGGGGATATCAGGCACGATACCACGCGAGGGAGAGGAGGGTAGGTAAGATGTAATAGTCGAGCCGGCGGTAGTGGTGGTGGTGGTGGTGGTGGTGGTGGCGGTAGTGGAAGTAGTAGGTCAATGAGGAGGTAGAGCAAAGTGTGGGAGTCGGCGGCAGAAGGATGGACTGATGGATTGATTTCAGCCAAGGCGAGTGGAGAGGACCGGGATGTCTTTGAAGAGGTGGGCGGCCAGCTCAGCAAGCCCAGAGATGTCCGGTGGGGCCTCTGGAGCACGGGAGGAATGGGCGATTGGACGAGAGGAGCGTGGGCTGTGACACGACCGACCAGGCTAGGGTACGCCGAAGTGGCAGCAAGGGTGTGTAGTGTTAAAGGACCTCCGTAGTCTGGTTAGATGCAGGGAGTGTAATGGAGTAGGTGTGTGTGAGTGTGTGGTGTGCGCGAATGTGAGTGTGAGTGCAAGTATGAGTGTGCGTGTGCTTGATATCGTCCGGGGTTCGATGGCATAGGCACAGGCACAGAAGGTAGCAAGCAGCATGAGCAACCTGCATGGATGATGGGTGGTGTAAAAGTGTGAAGATGGTGGAGGAGGATCATGGATGTTGGCGATGATGGGATGCACGGCAACGTCGACCGTTTGCTGGAACACGCCGTCCCGAAAAGAAAGAAAAAAAAAAGGTCGAAGTTGGAAGCCAACCGTCGCCGAGCGGGAGAGCGATCAGAAAGAAAGTGCGCACACTTGGCAAGAGACCTGAAGTAGTGTAGTCTGTGGTGTATCCGTTGATACTATTACTGTGTATAGGTAGATAGAAAGCTGCTCGCATCCGGGGTCGGTGCCCTGGGGCCGTAAACCGTTTGGTTTCTGTCAGGCGCCGAGGATGAGGATTTGCGTTTGTGTCTTTGCGCGTTTGCTTGGGCCGCCGTCGAAAGAAAAGAGAGGGTCAGTCAGCCCGGTCGGTTGAAGTCAAACAGACTTTCTCCCGGCTCCAGTTCAGGTCGAACGAAGTCTGAAGAGAACCGACTGAGGAGACGAAGAAGAAGAACAAGAAGCTCAGGGCTCTCCCGGGGCCAGGCCTGTCAGACTCAGTTCCAGTGGGGAGGAGGAGGGGGGGGGAAGGGTGTCCGCGCGGGTTACGTCCGGCAGACAGAGAGGAGAAGATGTGGAAGAAAGAGGATCCCAGTCTTCCTAGAGCCTACTGCGTAGTAGTGACTAGTGACGACGTTTGTACGAAATGTGAATGGGCGAAAGCTGGCGACAGGACGGGAAGGCTATGCTATGCACGTACTGTATGCAAGCAGGTTTTGCAGTTCATGCGAGAGTCCGTGGTGGGCCGCCGACGGGCTCTACTACAAAGTACGATGTAGGTACGGGACTCCTCTTTTTGCGCTGTCTTCCAACAGAAATGTGTCAATGTGCGCGCGTCTGCCACCGAAAAAGGTTGAATTTCCACTGCATGTGCACCAATATCCAGTGACCACTGCACCACCCCCCAAGGTCCCCTACTTCCCAGCACGCCACAGGGATGGATGCTGTAGATAACAGCTAGAGTCTCTAGATGCAGCTTGACGGGCAGCGAATGGTGTTGCATGCAGGGCTCTGCCGGGGAAATATCTGTGGATGCTGTGGGCAATGGTGCAAACTGTGATATCGCTCCGTCCACCGTCGTCGACTTCGTCCTTGATGGTGTTGCGACTGTCTCGAGACTACCAAGATGCCAAAGGAAGCCCAGGCCGAAGATGGTCGAGTCCAGCTGGTAGCGCAGGGCCGAGAAAAGAGACCATGGAGTTGCCTTTTCTTCCTCTGGCAATGGCCGAAATGCTAGTCTCCCTCACGGTTGTGGCTTGTTCGGCTAAGCGCTCGTTTGCCGTCAATTGGCTGATCTGATCTGATCTGATCTGCAGCCGTGATGAAATGGGCTTCCTAACTAAGACCCAAGAGGAGAGAGAAAGAGGCGAAAAATAAAAATGGCTACGGCTGCTGTTGTGTGCGAGCCTGTGAGGGCTCAAAAAGAGGTCACTGTCTCGGTCTGCGACGGCTCTGCGTCCTCTCTGTGGTGCCCTCGTCTGGTCTCGTTGAATGGCCTCTTCTTGTCGCTGGCTGCTGGGATTGATTGGGTCGAGGGGTTCGAGGCACAGGTCATGGATGATGGAATGAAGTCGGCGCGTAGCCGACGCGTCTCACCGATTCGGGAAGAAAACAACAAACGCGTCCACTCTCAGCCAATCAAAAGAGCCACATCACATGACTGTGCTCCCGATTGGCTGCTGTGCCCCCATCCGATGAAACTGGGTCATCCCAACTCTTGTGCCCATCAGGAGCCATCACGGAAAGGAAATCACGGATAACCGCTGAAAAAGGCTGGACGACTTCTTTTTTCTTTTTGTCAGACTGACACCACTTAACAAAATTTCATATCCTTCCCCCCAATCTTAGTCTTTTCAATGGCTTAGGGTGTCTTGCAACGATTGTCCCCGCTGTGAAACTGAGACCGAGACCTATGTACCAAGACCCCCCCCTCTCTAATGCTGGCCAGATCGTCAGGTACGGAATGTGACGGGCGTCTCACTTTACCTCCCGATGATATAAGACGTCGAGGCGAGAGAGACGATTTGCGCGCGTCCATTCCGCTTGTCCTCATCTCTCGCCTCGTGCTCTGCGTTTTCACTCTCTTGGACGGCTAGACGGGTCTTTTTGGGCCGAGCATGACCAACCTGTCCGTGCCTGGAGAGGATCCCATCAGAATGATCAGATTCTCGTCAATGCTTCCTTCCATCATCCCAGCTGTTTGATTCCCAACCGGAGAACAGACTTCTAGAACCGGGCTAGATGGGGCGCTGTCCAAGAAGGGTACCCATGGAATTCTAGGTGAAAAATGACTAAAAACTGCTCGAGCCTCGGCGCAGGGAGCACTCCGGAGCGCCCATGGCCGGCCGTGAAGAGGCTAACAGCAGCTGCACGGATATACGTTGGGAAACCTTGGAAGGCTAATATTGTCATGGATGAGCGGTGTCGAACAGGTCTTTGCCCTCTGCGGAAAGGCGACGACAGCCGCGGTGTTGCATTGGAGCGAGCCTGACGAATAAGCATGCCATCTCTAAATGGGCGACGTTCAACGAACGTTTGGTGGACGCCGGGACGGGTGGCAGCCCGGTGTGAGAGTTTGTGAGTGTCACTGTCCGCCTCAACCCATGTCTATCAATCACAGGTGAACGGAGACAGCCATTGATGAAGGAGAGACTCTGGAACTCTGTTGTACAAAAAGGCAACGTCCAGGCCGTGGCGCCAATTGCGACAAGACTGCTACGACATGTGTCTCTCCACCGGGCCCGAAACTTGAGTGTTTAGAAGCCCAGCGCGGCCAGGTACGGGGAAAGGGTCTCGGAAAGCAAGACAACATCTCATGATCGGCACTCCTTACTGTCAGGCACAGGACCACGGGAGCCACTGGGGCTTACAAGTTGGAAAGGCATCTGACACTAGTCATGATACCTGTGACCCGTTCGCTTCAATTCTCTCTGTAAAGTTGCCTTGGGGCCCATGAGTCCATGACCACTGCTACGTGCTCTAATACGTGCTTGATGGGATAGAGATATGGGAGTGAGACTCATGCGGTCAAGCTATCCGTAGGTAGGTGAACACAGTCAGCTATGTACCAAAGTCTTCACGCACGACCCGAATGACCCGTCCGATAATACGAAATACCGAGAGCGGGAAACTCCTCTCCCGGGCTCTTTCCCCCCCATCCGTGACATCATCCCTTCTCGCTACCGCCAGCAGTAAGGTACTGTGGTACATACTCGTGGTGCTGTCCAATCCCTTCGCACATGTTTTCTGGGCTGCTCTTTCCAGAAACCTCGTGTCTCCGCCAGTGCCCGGACGTGGCCCCAGCTCTCGATCCCCAATCAAACCGTTTCCACCTCGAGCCGTCTCATTGGTTCCGGTAGCTGACAATGTTTCAACCAGAATTGGGACCAACTTCCCAACTTCTTGCCTGTTCCTGCCCGCAGTGCCCGTTCCTGCCATCAGGTTCCACCGGGTCTCGAAGCCACTTCCCAGTTCAAGAAGTACGTGTCTCATACCCTACCTACCTTAAGGTACCTTTATCTTTAGGTAGTGTAAGGTAGGTAGTACGTACCGCATACCTGACCTGCTTGCAAGTCGCAACTGCCAATTGCAAGTGGGAATGCGTGCACCTCGCAAGTCGCAAGTGCAAGCAATGGGAAGAGCAGGCACGCCGCACGCAGGCAGCTGCAAGTGCAACGCTTTGGCTCAGCTTGTGTGGTGCAGACCAACCAGGGTTCTGGGAAGCAATTTCTCTGTTTCCTGCCGCTGCATCTCTCACCACTCATTCTTCCCATTCTCTCATTCACGAATCACCATTCACCGCTCGCGCTGTCAGTGGTCACTAACGTACCTGATCGCTCCAGCCTCAGGTACCTGACGGGCGTCCACTCCCATGTGAACATACCCTCCCAATTCTGCGCAATCCATTCACAAACGAAGAGGGGGTCACCAGGTACCGTACCTATCTTGGCTTTTCCACTGCCAGGTTCAGCCCAGTCGTCGCACCCTGTCAGTCGATCTTCGCATAAGATGCAAATCTTCCCTACGGGAGATATCCCATCTCGCACATCATTGACAACGCATCTAGCTCGCCCCGAACTCTGACTCTTCGCTTTCCCCATCTCGGCATGTTTCCTACCTCGTGCTCAACTGACACTTGGGCAGAAAAAAAAGACAGAGAGAGAGACCTTCTCCGGAAGAAAAAAGCCATCGAGATCCCCACGGAATCCGCTCCGCTGACCACCTCACTTCCCTGACGATATGGAGTAATTCATGGACAAAAAAAAATATAGACACATGGCAGCAATGCGACAGAGTTTTCGTCATTCTCTGACCACTCTTTTCTCTTCTTCCTCATTCTCGTGCGTTTCCCGGCCCGGGCACAACTGCCAACTCACACCCGTTGGATGTTTAATGGGACTCTCGTCTGTCCGTTTCAATGCACAAACGCTCGCGGCGGACCACAACCCGCCCGCCGCTGCATCGCACTACTGTACTCCGTACGAATACTCCGTACGTTCCTCTCCATCATTTCCTTCTCACAGACTGTCACTCTCCTTCTGGGACCCCCGGAACGTCTATCCCTGCCTCCTTGATATTAATAGCGCTGCTTTTGATATACCCGCTCAAAGTGCCGGCCGTTCTCCCATTCTCATTCCCATCCCATCTCGGATTCAGTACCTGCCTTGTCCGGCGTGTCGTCTCTAGCGTGACGATACTCCATAGCCCATACTCCGTACCCAGGGGAGAGGACCGCCGCATATGCCAACCTGCGGCCTGCTCTGCCTTACCTTATCATCTCCAAGCAACTCGTCTTTCCAACCCCAGCTTCATCCCCCCATGTCAGGCCACGAAAGGAGCCCCATATCGCCAGATAACCCTACGGGCTGCACTCCGTAGTCCAGAAAAACCAAGGCAGCCGAGGAAAGCTTTGGGCGTATTTCAGCTCACGCGCACCGTCGCCGTCCGTCCGTTTACCGATCCCACGTCGAGTCTGTGATCCTCAACACCCTAGAAAGAAGCATTGACGACCAAGAAGTTGGCCGACTCTAGAATCTCGATGCCCAATTGCCGCCAACAATGCCCTCTCATTCCCGTCTTCCCAACAATGGACAACGCATTTGCCATCTCATTTACTTTTTCCCCCATGGCCCATCCGTCCGCCTCGGTTTCGATTTCTTCTTTCACTAGTATTGAAAAAAGTTTGCCTCTACGTGCGAAAGCTGGTTTGGAAAACGGGTCCCTCGGCTCTGTTGTCTAAGTCTAGCAAGTTTTGTTCGTAAAGATCAGACCGGCAGACCCTCATTCATGAAAAAGCAAGCATGAAGCATAGGCCAACGTCCGATCTCCGGCCCATTATCTAGGACCTTTCAGACCATTCATCGCATCCTACTTCCTCCCTCGCATCAGCCATGTCGTAAGACGCAGGTGAAAACCCTCGGCCTTTCAATGTTGGGACTATCTACCTCAGGACGCTCCAGAAATATCGCATCCCGCTTCCTTCGAAAGTATTCGGCGCCCTTTTCCAAACGCCACTCCGGAGCCCAATCGGCCCTCTCAAACTGTAACACACAGACTCGGAGGACCGAGACACGATCTTCCCGAGTCTCAACAGCACACAAGTCTGCCTTTCCCCATCCCCTTGTCCTTCCATGGCCGTTTCCAAACTTTCCATGAGATCAAAAAAAAAAGTTCGGTGGCTGGGAGCATTTCCAGGGTAGCTCTAAACTGGGGTTCATCCTTTCCCACCTCACGAGCACCTCATCCGTGCATATGTTTCATCGAGGTCGTAGTGCTGCACTGCTGTTCCTCTAACCGTGACAGCCTGGGTCCGGGGCCTACGACGAGAAAGATCCCAAAATGCTGCTGCAGGGCACGTTCCTCTCCACAGCATATCCTGCAGAGACTCTACCTCCGACGTGGGCTCAACATCTCAACTTTACGGATGCTCGCTTTACCACTTTTGTGACTTGCAGATCTAAGAAACGTCCCCTCAATGTGGGTGAAGCTCGAACAGTCGAAGACGGGGGAGGGGGAAAGAGGACCCGTAGATCCACCCCCCTCCTTCTTCATGTCGTTCCTGTCCCAAGCTTCCTAGCCGAGTACAACCGTATTCCAACCTTGAACGTTGAACGTCTTTTTGATAGCTCTCTTGCTCAGCCTCCTGTGGCTACATCTCAGCAGCAGCTCTCTCCATGGTAAGGTGGCGAGGTATCTCACCAGCTCGCTCTACGTCTCCATCTCTCTAGCTACGAAAGACTAGGACGATTGACCTCCATATCTAGCCCATCACTAGAGCGTTTCCTCTTCACTGTGGTCTGTGGTGCCCATCCTCTGTCGTCAGTTGGCCTCGCGTCTACATTAGTCTATAGTCTAGACAAACTAGAAAACCGCAGTACGATACAAAGCAGCAAGGCTCCCGAGAAAGCCGGGACAGAGACGGAGAGAGAGGGTGGCCACCTAGTTTGCAGCGGAGAAAGATTACCTGCAGACTGCAGTAGACTGCTCATGTCGTAATTGTGTTGCACATGAAAAAGGAACTTGCAGTAGTGTACAAAGTAAAAGCGAGATATCGCAGCTACGCCAGCCACCTTTTTCCCCAACGCCGCATCAGATGGCGCAAACCGTTTGATTCCCCCCCCCTCCTCCTCTTTCTCATAGCCCTCCCATCTTCGAGTATCCCAAGAACTATCAGATGAAAGACTGAATGTCAATAAACAACACAAGTACTCCGACGCGCTCACCAGATCGCGTTTCGCTCAAGTATGCATGTATGATATGGTGGAGAAGAATACTACTGCAAGATCGATGCCCGGCACGGCATCCCCATGAACCCCCACCGAATCTACGTAACCCTTCACTATTCGAGCAGATCTTCATCATTCAAACCTGCCCGTTATGGACCGAGAGATGCACGTAATCCAGCGCCATACTAAATACATACAGTAACCGTAGCTTTGCCAAGCTTCAAACAACACCCCCATCAAGGGATCTTCGCAAAAGCAAGACAGATCCCCCTCTCTTGCCTCGTCGATCCTCGTAAGCCTTATCCTACGTGCCCTACGTAACTCCAGACTTTGCCACGCTTGCCCACAAGACACACAAAGCAAGAAAGAACTCTTCTGAACCTAGTCACACCTGCCAAGCAAAATATGTAGCCCTCCTTACCCAAGGTATTGAAGGTAAGCTGAGCAAACTAGACGTGGTCGTAGTCATATTCATAGTTCGGAAATCCGTACCGAAAAAAACTCGGGAAAGGGACTCAGACAACAGCACCGACGCCATCGCCGCCGCACCGGCAACTCTCCCTGCGGAGAGACGATCCTTCCAAGCAAACGCACACTTACACGCACACAACCTCGATCGGGCGTCAGAATAGAAGAAACACTAGAAATAACTTACGCCACTCTCTCCCAGCAAGAAAAAAGAGAAGAGACACTGAGCACTCAACGCACGGCACGCAACGCTTGGCCCTTACACACACACCAGAGCTAACGCAGCTCAGATTCTTTGTTTGACACGACGGACTGATCAGCCAGCCGGCCGGGCGGCGAAGAGGGTCAGGTCACGGGTCAAGTTAGAAAGAGAACCGTCTGACGAGGATGAGAGGATAAAGAAACGAAAACTCGGGGGTTTGCATTACTACCTAGCTGGGTCGGGACATCTGTCTGATAATGGGAACAATACCTACTGCACGCCTCCAAACGCCTCCCTCCCTCTCTTGGCTAAAAAAAAGTCTTGCCACTTGTGAACTGAATTCTACTTCCAACCAATCCTGAGAGCCATGAGAGCTACCTGGACAGAGCTTTCTCTCACTGTCTCATTCAATGCCCTTCCCCATGACATCCTTCGCCCGCCTCCGCAGCCAGCCACAGCCAGCACGGACTGTAGATACTAGCATCTAGCATTTAATCCAAAACGCGGCCTGCAGTAGCGGCGCCGCTCTTGTCGCGCGTCTCGGTCCTCTTCAGGGCCCTACCAAGCTGGATCTCCCCGAGCAGACCCGCGGGTCGCCCGCCTGCCGGGGGGCCTGACGGTGCGTCACCCGCCGGTGGTGGGGGAGGTGGTGGCGGTGGAGCTCCCATGCCTGGAGGGGGAGGAGGCGGCGGCGGCGGGCCACCCGGTGCGGGCGATGCCGGCATCGGTGGCGGGGGAGGGGCCGAAGGAGCACCGGTAGCTGGCATGGGCGGCGGGGGAGGAGGGAACGCAGGTGAGGCGTCGCTGCCCATGGCCGGGCTGACAGGGTTAGATGTCGGCTTGTCTCCGGTAGCTGAAAGTGGTCGCGGGGGGCCCATGGTTCCGAACAAAATGGAAGCCAAGGCCGCAGCGCTACTGCCGCCGGGACGGTCATCATCGTCGGAATCTTCGTCGTCCTCCTTATCCGTGCCCCAGTCATCGTCCTCATCAGGGCGCTTGCGGGAGAAGGGTCCAGAGGGAGGCGGGGGAGAGGCAGCCGCGGGAGCTGCCTTGCTCTCTTGCGCCATGCGGTGGAAGGGGTTAGTAGACTGCGCAGCCGCCGGGGGTGGAGGAGGCGCAGCGGCAGGCGCAGAGGGCTCGCTCGGGGCCGAGGTGGACTCGGATGAGTGAGAGAGCATGCGGTGGTACGGGTTGCGGCTCTCGTTCTCGGTGGGAGGGCTGGTGACCACCGTTGGGATGGCGGGAGGCGGGGAAGGCTGCTTCTCGAGCTCTTGACTGCTGATCTGGCTGCCGCCTTGAGTAGGGGTAGATGCCTGGGGCGTAATTTGAGAAGGGCCATCCTCGTCGTCCGATGAGCTATCATCATCGTCGTTCATAGCCTCAAGCTGGCGTTGGAGTTCCAACTCGCGCTGACGGGCAGCTTCAATCTCGGCCCTCTGTGCCGCCAACTTGGCCTCCTTTTTCTTCTGTTCGGCGAGGGCGGCCTTCTTCTTGCGCTTCTCCTCCTCCTTCTTGAGCTTGCCCTGCTTGACTTGCTCCTCGAGTGCCTTGAGACGAGCTGCAGCCGATTGTCGCTCAGTTTCGAGATCGTCTTGCTGCTCTCTAGCGCTCGCCCTGTGTATTCGTTAGCATATATTCGTCTTCGGTCGTCTTCTACAGTAACTTACTCCAACTCTCTGGTGGCCCGCTGTTGCTCCTCGTGTTCCTTAGCGAGACGCTCTTCTTCGGCCTGCTTGGCCGCTTGCTCTTCCTCTGCCTTCCGAGAGGCCTCTCTCTCGGCAGCGTCACTCTTGGCGGCCTTCCTCGACGGCGGCGGGGGAGGCTTCTTGGCAGCGGGTGCCGGAGCGCCGGTTTCTTCGGCGAGCCGGGCCTGACGTTCGGCTTCGCGGCGCTCATCCTCCTCCTCGGCCTGGCGCAGCTTAGCAGCACGTTCGGCTCTCTCTCGCTCCATTCTCTGGGCAGCCGTCTCACCAGGCTTAGTAGGAGCCTTAATGCCCAGGGCAGCAAGTCTCTCAGCCATGCGCTGCTCAGCCTGCTGTTTGATAAAAGCAGCACGCTCCTCGGGAGTCTTGTATGAAGAGTACGAGCCTCCGGGGGTAGTGGTACGCGAGGGAGGTGCAGGGCTCTCATGCCGGACGGCGGGACTGGCCGCAGCAGGTTCCCTAGAGGATGTACGCGCGGCCGAAGGCGAAGAGGAGGAAGTAGGACGTCGGTCCTGGGCCCGAACACGCGCAGCACGGCTAGATCGCTGAAGATCAAAGATGAAATCTCTGACTTCGTCCTCGACGCCCAGAGCGTCCTCCCAGCGTCGCTTCTCGTGTTCGTTGGAGGCCGTCGTGGTACCTTCTTTCAGGCTATCTTCAATGCCGCGAGCAAAGTCACGCACAGAATCTTCCACGTCACTGACCATACTCTCGTTGTTCTCCTTCTCGGTCTTGATCTTGTGGTTCTCCTCCTCAAGACGCTTGGGGCCTTCGTCATCAAAGCTCGACTCTACCTTCTTGCCCGTCAAGGCTGCAGTACGTTGCTGCATCATCGCCTTGGCCCGGGCCTTCAGTCTGTCAGACTCTGTTACGGCACCGCCAGGGCCAGTGCCGACAATGGCAGCGGCACTGTTGGGGTGAGCCTTTGCATCCTTGAGCCTGAAGAGCTCAAGTCTCGCGTCTGCGATAGCCTTTTCGGTCTTGCGAACGGCAGAGGCCAGTTCGGGGACCTTGTCTGTGAGGGTCTGGAGCTGTCGCTTCAAGGATCGTCTCTCGGCTTCCGAATCTCCCGTCGAGAGCGCGGCATCTGGGTTCGCGTCAATGT